TACCTTTAATCGACGGAGGAGAGGATGCACAGAAAGAAAACATATTCCCTTTCCATGCATCCTCTCATCCGGAAAGTCCACTTCCACTTCATCCTCTCCTTATAAGAAAAAGGGTGGGAAGGGAAAGAGGACTATTATAAATTAAGCCTCCGGGACGCACACTCATCAGACGAAACGCGGAATTGCTTCCACTTCACGCCCGTCTTCTGTGTAGTCGTGGTATTTCACCGGGCGAGCCGGGACAATTGATGCGAAGATGTTAATGCGGGCTTTACCACTGTTAAAATAAATGAATATCACGGATTTATAACAATTCATTACCTTATGTAATCATGTCTTCCTAAAAATGATATATAGTGTACAGCTGTCTCTTTCTGTCTGTTTTATATCAATTAACAATTAACTTAGCCAATTATCAGTAGGTACTGTTAGGAAGAAAATCCGACACTACGTCGGTGTATCGGCGCCACACTAGCCTTAATAAAATCTTAACGTTTATGTCCCCTCACTAAGCGATCTGACACATGACTTAGTAACAAAATCGCGCCATTGGCTCCAAATTTAGTAATATTTTGTAAAAGTATTATACCTAAATATAGAGTTGTAGCTACAGAATCACCTGTGCGCATCAAATGCTTTTAAATACGTGATTAACTCGAAACATTATAAAAAATCAATAGTCAACACGTAAGCTCGCTTTCGCTACGCATTTTTTCCGCCAAACTTCCAATAGACCCGTACGATCTAAGAAAGGAATGTTTTTCTACAAAATTCCATCAATTTGAGCTCCGTAACGAGGTATCCGAAACGTGTCAGGATATTCAATTTGTACTTGTTAGAGACCTGTCCACGTTCATTGTTCGAGACGCACGCACTAAATTACGTTTTGATGCGGTCCCTACACGTACAAGAATTTCTAAAAAAGTATATGTGATTCTAAATATTTTAAATCCGATTAAAAAGCAAAAATGCGAGATAAATGTACCATTATATAGACTTTATAACTAGTATAACTCAAACAGCTAAAAATACACAAGTTTTGAGGTTAGGCAAAGACTAGTTAGGACCTAAGCGATGTAAATGGTTACAATTCCTTGTGACCTGTCGCATGGATCACTATCACACAGTCATAACACTATTCTATTTCTTTGTCTAGAATCGAGAATCCTTTATGTGCAACGGAATATAATCGATATTTTAGTACTTGTCATAGGTATATGACTTTAAGTATCCTGTTTATTTTAATAAATACATCTTCATTATTTAAATAATGTTTAATGAGTTTTACTTTAGTTGAGCATCCGCTTTAATTGACCACATTTAAAAAATTGATCTTTTGTATTCAAAAGAAATGTACTAGGACAACATGAAACGCGTGATACGTGCGTATCGATCGGAAGACGGGCCCCGCCATGCCATTGACTAAACAGAGCTTAACATTGCCGAGTAACGAGATTCTAGAAATATCGATTTTATAAAGTCGGTTAACGTTTACATCTGACAGACACTACTAATGGCTACTATGAATTGTGTTATTGTCTTTGTTTTAAAGCATTTTTCAATGAAAGTTTTTTTTTTATATTACAAGGTAGCAAACGAGCGAGCGGCCACCTGAAATCGCTAAAACAGCGAAGTGACCGTTGCCCATAGACATACGCAATTGCATATGCGATGCCTACCTTTAATCGACGGAGGAGAGGATGCACAGAAAGAAAATATTTTCCCTTTCCATGCATCCTCTCATCCGGAAAGTCCACTTCCACTTCCTTTCCTTATAAGAAAAAGGGTGGGAAGGGAAAGAGGACTAATTTTGGCCTCCGGGACGCACACTCATCAGACGAAACGCGGAATTGCTTCCACTTCACGCCTGTCTTCTGTGTGGTCGTGGTAGAAGTAATTTGAACTAGGCTGAAATATCTCTTAAAACAAAAATACATTTGACATGACAAGCTTATAACAATTTACGAGTAAAATTAGGGCCCCTAACAAATGTCATTACAACGAACAAAATTGCCAGCCTCGAAAATTTCGAATTCAATACGGTGCGACGACATTTAAATTGTCCTCGTTATTAATATGTCGTTAGAATAATAAAATCTAATGCGATTTAGGCAACACTGTCGCTTGTCAGGTGCGGGGTAACTCCGAGCGTTGCTGATTCGTAATTTTTTGCTGGCTCTTAACGATGTCTTTTGCCTTTTTTTAGCATTTTGCGTGCTTCATACGGTCCTAATTGAGGTACAGATTCGCTAAGGATGCGATTAGGTCATGATTGATACAGCTGTTTTGCCGTTTTGATGCCTTAGGTATTTAAATCGTATATTATAAATTGTTCTCCTTTGTTAATTTTGACTTCTTCGAAAATAAGCATGACGGCCAACGAATGGAATTTAAATTATAATTAATGAAATGTTTTAATTTATTTTTTTATGTCTCAAGATTACATTTGTGTGAAAATCGACGGATATAAATCGAGGGCTTCGACAATGTTTTGCTGGAAACAATTGCAATTGACACTTGAAATAGGGTTGCCATAACAATCATTGCTTTTAAGGCAAATTTAAGCGATGAATCATTTTTGACACATAAACATAACAAAAGTATTTATTATTTCGTGACCAATTGGATATTAATAAAATCGATATGTGAAATTCCATAACAAAGCGTTGCATAGGCAGTTTAAATTAACGACAGCGATTTAACTGCGATATTTTAATGTATGTGGCTAACCGCACCCGCTAAGTACTCGGTCAGTTATCTTAACATATTCCAGGACGTTCTTTTTAAAATTTATATTTACAAACAATACTAACATTACTGGCAGTCTCGCGAATTTACGAATCCAGAGACTAATTTGTGTGACCTTTGAATGTCATTTTGAAGGTTTAATAATCATGAATCAATTGAATCACTTTATTAAAAACTACGCCATTTTGAGGAGAGAGCGTCGGTGGCTCAGGGGTTTCAACACTTGACTTGTAATCTGCAGGTGCTGGGTTCGAATCTTGCCATAAACCAATATGTTTTTCGATTTCCGATTTACATATGTACATTTATCCGACGTTCCTACGGTGAAGGTAAACACCGTGATGCAACCTGCACATATCTGCGAAGAAATTCAAAGATATATGAGAAGTCAACCAACCCGCACTTGGCCAGCGTAATTGACTATAGCCTAGTCACCCCTAACTTAGGGTAGGCTCCGAGCCCCTCAGTGGGGACTTACTATAGTGAGCTGATGATGACATGACGCCATTTTAATTAAACAAACTTAAATATTAGTCAACACTGTATATCCGAATAAATGTTTCGATAGGTTAGGTTATAATAGTGATGACGATAAGATAAAGAGCTTTAAAATTAAAAATATAACTTCGATGTTAAAGTCTAGAAAAATTGTAGTCATTTATAAAACTAAATGAGTTATATTTTACTAGTAATGTTTTAAAGTAATAACTGAAAACATATTCTTATCGCATAGCGAAAACAATAAAGTTAAAAACGGTTACGTAAACTAAAGCGTTAACTGAAGCCGTAAAATAAAACATTAACAAGTTAATTTCAAGAAAACAATTAACTGTTACACAATTTTGTTTGGAAATTATGTGCAGATAATGAATATATAGGGCAACACTGAGTTAGTTCCCTATACGTTCATAAAACACTGAAAATATTTTGAAAATAATTTGGTATAATATTCAGAGCGAATCAGCAATAATCAAAATATTAATTACCTTAAATAAAATTAACTTTATGTGGCACTAGCTTTCGCACGTGACGCTGTCTGAGCGTATTTAAAAAACCTTACTCAGTAACCTATGTGTTCCTCCAGACTATGTTCCGCATCTATTCCAAATGTCAACGAGATCTGTGCACCCGTTCTGGATTTTTTTTAACAAACATCCATCCATCCAAACACTCGCATTTATAATATAGATAATAATAACATTAATTGTATTTTAATTATTTATGTTTTGGTAAATTTATTTTTAGAGATTAAATTATTTTAAAAATTAAAGCAAAATATTGTTTAGTGACGTATCATAATTACTGACTAATTTCCAACAATGTGTACAACGATTATATATTTCTTTTAAAGCTTTTAAGAACGGCCCGTATATTATTGAAAGCTCGTTAAAATGTTACGATTGCTGGGTGTGTTTTTTATTGTATATTTTATGGCGGGAGAGTTACATTTTAGCGCTGCGGGCTCTTTATTACGGTGTCATAGACTCGAATAATGTTTTAGTGCCTGATAACGAGTCGAAAGTCGGTTCCCTACCTCTATATACAACACTAATATACTTTATGTCTGTCTATGGTCACTCGACACTACTGTTACGAATAAATTATCATGTTATTGGTATTAAATATATTTTAGAATATATCTAAAATTAAATATTGCTTTATAAACAGTTTGCCAACGTGCAACAGAAGTGTCTTTGTTGTGACAATTCAAAGTTACGTCAATATCGATGTACAAGGGTACAACACTGGCATAAAATGTGCCTGAATAAAAATAATAATAAAAAGCTATTTGGTGGACAAATCTATTCTCAATTATTTTTAAATTTAGAACGATTTTAAATTAGAACTTTTGATAAAAGACTTAACCAACTAGAGTTCACCAGCTTTGCTTTTGTTTTCTTAATTAAAACAAAATGTTTTAGCGTTTTTTAAATTATTTCCTGCAATGCTATTTTGTTAACAACGTCCTTTGTCATTAGCGAACTAATGAAAACTCATTTCTTTTATTTAGGCTAATGGTTTTGTAGTGAGCTGTGCCACTTTTTAACATTGTTAATTACTGCAGACTTTTTAAAATTACGTTAAATAAAATTTTTAAATTGAAATATTTGTAGTACAACCTTTTCGTACTTATACAATTTACAAGACATTTTACACTAATAAAATCTAACTTTCTCGGTCGAGTCAAATAGACAATTTGAATAGAAATTTCACTATTGTATTAATAAGAATTATTTCCTCGTTTGTTTCAGATGGTCAGTCAAATCACCTTAACTTATTCAACTCGAGGCCGCAGCCGAAAAAGAAGCGGAAATCAAGAACAGCATTCACGAATCACCAGATATTCGAACTGGAGAAACGTTTCCTATACCAAAAGTACTTATCTCCCGCGGATAGAGACGAAATAGCCAGCTCTCTCGGTCTATCCAACGCGCAAGTCATAACATGGTTCCAAAACCGACGAGCAAAATTGAAACGAGATATGGAAGAGTTGAAAAAGGACGTCGAGAGCGCTAAAGTCTTATCTGCACATAAAACCTTTTTGGAGAACGTGACAGATTTGGGTATATTGAAGAAGAAGGCGATGAGTATAGGTGCAAGCGAGGAAGCCGCGACCAATCTTGTGGTGAACGCGTCCAAATGAAACGAGGCAGCGCGCTCGATCGCACCCGATACCTACGATCGAAGCGTGCTCGATTTTTAAATCGATATAGACTATAAAATGAGTGACCGATTTTAAAACAACAGACTCTAGTGGCGTTGTAACTTAAAAAGTTTATATATACTGGCTGGCAGAAATAAAGAACTATTAAAAGTGTAAATTGTTTAGTAATTAATCACGTGTATAATACGTTATACTTTTAAATGAAATTGTCAAGTGAATTTTAGAGAAATAAATATTTAAAAGTATTTTCAATTTAAATAGTGACATTAGATGTTTTTATCTTCACTAGTTTAGTCTCGCGTACTTCACTATTTAAAACGTTATAAATAACTATATGTAAACGTCAACGAAACCGTTGACGGCATAGGAATATTTAGTACCGCTAAATATTCATTGCAAAAGTTGTATTGTAAATAAATCTTTGTACAAATGAAAATGCTTTTTTCGAAATATAAATGTGATAGTTGATTGTATTAAGTACTTATTACTTTATAGAAATATTTTTAAATTATTTATTACGGTAGCTATATCACTGATATAAAACGCAAAAAACAACTATAAATTAATAAATAACGATTAACCATTTAAATGCTATTAGCGTACCATAGTGCAATATAGATAAATATCTCTATCAGTGGTAATGCTATTTTTCGAATTATCTTGTAAATATTGTAATTGTATAGTTAGATTTCTTAGTTATAGAATATTTTAAAACGTCATTCATATTTTATCATATCTTAATGTTTCCCCTACTGAAATACCAACGCAAGAACAGCAAAAAAATGTAGTCATCGCATTCATTGGCCTTGAAAAAAAAAGAGATGGCAGTATATGTTTTCTCTCACTTGTTTTGACAGTAAAAACGGTTAATTTGGTATTTATACTACTAGTGCTGTTACATGAATTAGTAAGAATACTAATTGTGAAATATGTTTAACTTTGTATTTTTACTAATTATCAAATGAAGTAGATCAATGTTAGTAACTTTTCTATTTAAGATAAAAAACAATCCTAGAGCAATTGCATTCTTTCTGTACTTAATGTATTTATGTAGAACCTTTAATTAAAAAATAGATGTATAATATTTTATTTATAATGTCTTTGTTATAAACTATTTATCGACTGGCTAATTTTATTTGTTTAAAATTTTACATTGCATTCAATTTTATAATATTCAAACGACGAAGTTATCATGACTGCTACAAATAAACAAAAACTACTACTTTTAGGAACAATAAACAAACATTATTATACGAAAAATGAAAAAGTACTTAGTGTCTGTTTTAGCACGATCAAGGGCCTGGCCGAGATTTCTATGGAGTCCCCTATTTTTACCAATTTGGGGGGGGGGGGGGCTTTACCAGTGACGTTAGATTCGTAGATCAGTGGCGCCTCTTTTTATCCAGAGTGCTTACAAAATTGATTCACTTAGAAGCGATTCCATAGCGAACTTCAAAAATGTATGGAAGTGACGCGCGATAATCACGTGACTTACCGAAAGTTATTGTCAGTTCTATACATTTTTGAATTTTCGTTATGGAATTGCTTCGGAGCGAATGCACTTTGTCTAATCCTCTAGCGCCCTGGTCGGTTAACTAATAGACCTAACGCTAGTACTAAAGATATACTTAAATGAGTAGCAGCATTTAAAGTTCTAAGTAATATTATCCATATTAATTATGCCAATTTGTCAAATTTTCAATAAAGTTTTTTAAATTTCAACTTGTTAAATTATAATAAACGTATTATTAAAAATCATATATAAAAAACATATTTGCGTTACTCATAACAAATAAAAGTACACACAATATTATCATTTACATTATAAAAATAAGGAAAAATATTTATATATCTGATACCAATTAAAAAAAAACAACATAAAAAGTTTTTACCAAGTTTTTACTTGAAATCAAATAATAAAATGGGTAATTTTACAATCATTAAAAAAAAATAAATTGAAAAGAAAAAGAAATAATTAAAAATTTAAGAAAAGAGATTCTCTTTTTTTTATATACCTATGAAGTCAATAATGACACATTCAAATAAAAAGAATGTTATTAATTAAACAACGAAAAAAAACGAACTTAATGACGATTCATCAATTAATACTATTAAATACAAATGTTGCTTATACCTAATACTTGATTTCTATATTATCTTGGAAAAATAAAATATTTTATTTTCCTATCGTAAACAATATTATTAGCGAATTCTTATTTTGCTGTCTTTGCTAAACTGATTTTATTATCTGTAAGAATTTTGAATGTGTCAACACTGATTAAATGTCAAACGTTCCTACTAAGCTGCAGTTATATATGTTAATAGCACTCGATGTTTGCTTCAGCAAATAATGTGAATATTAATTAGTGTAAATAAATAATTACGTGTTCTTTAATAGTTGTTTTATATTCCCTTGTCCCAGATATACAAATAATATAAAGAATGAATAATTAATAAGAAAGAAAGGAAATACCACGAACTACTGTTTCATCTTTTTTTCTAATACAAGATTTACAGAAAAAAAAATTCATCTAACAAAATTATAAAAAGTAACACTGAAGGCAATGTGTGGTTTCATTTTTAATTTAAATATCAATTAAAAGTCAAGACTAAATCAAGAATCATCAAAGACCACACCGATGTAGTCGTTTAATTCAAATATGTAGTATATTAAACGGAATTAAAATAATCGAATAGCAGAGTAACTAAAAGCGGTTTCGAATACTGTAATCGATTCGCTACACGTCGAGTCTGGCTGTACGAGAATTGCCTTTGTTTGAATTACAAACGAGCATTGATGACGACGTCGCGTGCCGAACGCATACAGGAATACAGGTTTGTTGCACAGATAATGCTATAACTTTACATATCTTCTTACTATCTGCGAAAGTTTAGATGGATGGATGTTTGTAAAAGGTATCTCCTGGACAGCTCAACGGAACTTGATGAAATTTAGCACAGATGTAGAACATATTATAGTAAAGAGGAACACATAGAATACATACTGAGTTTTATTTTTAATTAATCGGAGACGGAATCGCGGACAAAATCGATTAAAAATTAAAAAATAAAATATAAAAACTATTCGAAACTTGGAAAGACGATATTTTTACTGTTTAATAGATTCCGATATTGCATAGTTTATCTGTCGTGGTTATTGTAAAGCTGTAACCAAAAATGATCTAAAATCTGCGTAACTTGCAATACCACTACCAAAACAGCTAGGTATAATTAAAATTGTTTCGATAAAATCAAACACAAACTCAAATTACTTCACAATTCTATCTAGCAAGGAAATCTTCATTTAACGCGTGCGCAGATTTTTTTTAAATTAAATTTTAAACCGCACTTTAAATCTTCCGATGTCAAATTACGTAAACAATCCTAGAATGTAATTGTTAAAACTGTACGAGAATTTGTTACGGACACGAGTTTGTTATTCTATAATTGGTCGCCCGATAGATTCATAGTCCATTGTAGAAAGAACTTATATTCAATACATCATAGATACTACACGCAGGTCAATGTAAGCTGGTTTGTAGACACGCAGTGTTTCGGCCACTTTTAAATATTCATTGTACGCCGTTAAAACGTTAACTATGGCCAGTGTCTTTAGTCGACGTGATGATCCGTAAACAATTAGTAATTGCTTTAATAAAGTCCAAATATAAATTGTTTCTTTCATTTGTATGGCGTACTTCGTAAATATTTATGAACCGAATTAATTTAATACCGGAAATGGAAGAGACTTGTATAGACTAGCCAAAAAAACGTTAATAAAACACTCACGCCTTTAACCCAAAGGGGTATGTTGAGATAACAGATCTCGATTAACTCTCCTTTTCTATCACACTTCACTTCCACTCTCTTTCACACTAAACAACCTCTCAATGGACCCTTTTTAATTGTTCCATATGTTGACGACTAAAAGTACCAATCATTTAATTTTTTTTATTTAATAAACGTTATAATTAGATCATTATATCAAAATTATACGGCAAGATATAACAACTCTATAGTAGCAATTTCACAACATTCAAGAAACCAATAGCACTTTAAATAGAAACCGCAAAGAAATTATACTGGCAGCCGATAAACAAAAGAAAAACATACATTGCTTACGAAAACCGATAATAGCATAGCCGTAAGCTGTTAATTACTGTTGCCTTGTGTTAAAAATAAATTAAAAAGTTGTCTTTATATCGTTTTGTATACATGGAAAGTTTTTAATTCAATGACGTTGGTTTATATGAACAATTTTAGTACGCCCCGGGCATTGGTATCCATCCTTTCTACGGTTGCCATTTCAAATTCGGCGGCTAATAACTGCCAGTGTTTTACAATGGCTGAATTAAAAACAGTTGTTCAAGTCGAATGTACCAAAATAATAATCGGGTACAATCGTGATGTATAATTATTCAACATTTGTTTTCGGAACCGAGGGCGCTTGTGTGGTGTTGCTAGATGTAATTATTGCTATAAAATATTTAATGCAACTAATCAATATGTGCTGTAATTTAAAATATTGATATAATATCTACTAAAACCACTAATTATTTATTGATGCAACAACTTAATATTAATATATATTGATATTAAAAAAATATATTTGTCTCTTTCTTTTTTAATCTGACATATAGTGAAACATTAAGAAAAAAACTGTCACAAGTACCTTTATATTAAAATAAAACTATCAAAATAAATTTCGTTTAATCGCAGCATTCACAAACCTCACAACAGCCGTTACATAATTTAGGAACTGAATCTGTCATTATCTGTGGCGTCATTTTGTTTATAATTAAACTGTCATTATAATTAATTTAGGCGCGCGCGCGCCGCCCTAGGCGCTGACAGTTGCAGTCGTATTTTTTTTATCTGCATTTATAAATTTTAAGTTATGCTGTCATTTGGACACTATCATTTCTTGGTTGAATGTTTAAATAAAAAATAACGTTGAATATGTATACAATAGCAAATATAATCATTGTCATATCTAAACATCTGAAAATTCTTTCAACAAGAACGATTCGTTGACAATTAAAAATTAATATTCTCAGCGAAAATTTGGCCACACACCGCTTTTAAAGTACACTTCATATAAATGAATATTTCAATAGCCATTTCGCATGTCGAATGTTTCGCCAATTTAATATCGCTCCCGCAATTCATCCTTTGAATCCCAAATGGCGTTTACGGTAAAGTTTTTTCTCACATTAACTTACCCCTGCGGCAAAGAATTGACCCAAAAATCCAGCCTCCATACTGTAACGAATTAACAAGAGAATTTGGCCGAATGATGAATCGTCATTTCACTTACGAGTGCACTAAAAAAAAACAAATTCCTACTTTATAGCTGTTAAAATAGATTCATTTATAGTCTGCGTTCAAAAATTGCAAATGACACATCTTTTGAAAGTTGCAAAGAAAATAAACAGGGCTGTCTATGGTTCGTAATTCGGCACAATGACAATTTGATGTGGAGCGGACACGTAACAATGGTTGATAATGAAGTGGTTTTGTCGTGTTTTAGAGCTTTAGCGGCAACTGTGGGTATATTAAGGCACAATTATGTTATAAATGGGGGTTTATTGGACGATTAGCGGCAACGGATCAATGTGGCGTACGCTGTTGTGAAACTCGCTTTACGAAATCTGTGTACACTCGCGTACACTATTAATATGCGTTTTGTTTTTTTTTTTTCTTAGCTAAATTGATTTTTTAAGATCATCACGAATAAGATTTGGACTTATTGTCTTAAATCTTGTTATCCATCGTTTCAACATGTTAGATATAATCACGCAGATGACAAAACGTAGATTTATGATTTCAAAATAGCAAGTAGACATTTCAAAATATGGCTTTGAGTTCATGTTATAACTTTATAGGCATAAAAATTATTTTTAAATTTTGTAATCACTTTTGTTCATATATGTACCATAAATGATTGTAATAAGTAATAACGTCGTAATAAATTTATGAAAGGAAACGTTTGACGCTACGAGAGACATATTATAATATCCTCATTGTAATCATATTATTACTTCGGTTATTTAATGCCAAGTATTTAATTTTGACATTCACTCTTCAACTTATCTATCACTTAGAAACCCATCTAACTAATTCCAGTTCCAGACAACTTAGCGATGTAAAAAATAAGTAGCTACAAATGTTCATGAAGTATAACCATAAACAAGTACTCAAGCGAAAACTATCAGAGTTTCCTCGTTGTTTATATTGTACTACCTGTCGCCTGTCACCGTCAGCGCGGAATTAAAAAAACATAATTAGTAGTCTATTGTTCTTCCAGACTATGTTCTATATGTATGCCAAATTTCATTGAGATTCATTTAGCAGTTCTGGTGATACCTTCAAACAAATATTCATCTAAACATTCGTATTTATTCTATTAGTAAAATGGTAAGAGATTAATTTGAACTATGGTTTTTACGCAGATTACGTTTTAGTCGTTAAATACTGTCAAAAAGGCAGTACGTGTAGAAATAAAAGAAAAAAAAAGATTTCCTCCACTGGCTGTAGGAGTAAAATACCTTTGCCCTGTCATAAGACGCGGATGTTTTAAAAAGATTTCATTCTATTTACAACTATCAATTTAACGTCACATCAGCTCGTGGATCTTGTACGTCCGTGATCCCGTGCCGCTTAACAAGGCCCCGAATTATAAAACAAATCAAAGACACC